TTCCACTGATTTCGTATTGGAATGTTATATTGCAAAACATGACATGATAAAGAAGAAAATAAATTTTAAAATCAGAAAATAGCATTGCAAATACTTTGTTTTGGACAATTTAGTAACTCCCAATAAATGTGTGTTGTTTAAAACACAATTGAAAAATCAACAGCTGTTTCATTAAAAAGTATTATCCACATGGCCAAAATGTAACAAATTTGTCGAGGTATCTTTAAAGGCTTCTGGGGTAGAGCCCTAAGGGAATTAACTTCGTGTTTCTTTTGATAACTCATCTACATACCAAGGCCTTTTTTGGAGACCTCTACCAAGTTTCTACGTCCAGCCGTTCTCTCAAATTAGTGGAGACAAAGTTTCCAATTAAATATTTAGATTCCCCCATGTTAATCTTATGGGAGAAACCCCAACCTTGATGGAAGATCCTGCCCAAACTAATAAAGATCTCTGACACTTTAATCATAAAAATCGGTCCAAAAATGTGGGAGGAGTTCTGTTTACAAAATCGGCTTAGCGTATTATATATATAGAAGATATGGTGCTCCCATCTATATCTGGCCTCCATATGATTGTCAGGAGTTTACATCCTAAGTATTTTGCATTGATACTGCTGCCTACACTGTTGCCAATTCTACTTAGGTTACTAATACATTTTGAACAGGAAACACATCCTGCCTCGGGCTCCAAGCACAGACAAAATAATACCGAGCTTCTCATAAAACCACATTATGTTTGACAGAATTCAAGCTTTGGTTTTAACATTCATACTTAAAAAGTGATACTAGTTATTCAGATGGAAATTCTTTGAGCCCAATATAGTATTTTTTTAGAATTTAAATAAACGAATTAATGATCTCATTCCCTTAAAAACGAATACAACAAAACTTTAAGTCCAGCTTTTAAAATGTGACATTTTTGCCTGTAAGTGTGAAATTAAAAATTCCTTTTTAAAGGACCGTCTTAAAAAATCCTCTCTGCCACTAAGAATCTGAAAAATTAACAAACCAAATACTTAAAATTATTAATATTTGAAGATTATTGACTTAAAAGTAACAATAACGATAGAGAGCAATAACAAGTATTTTGTTTTGTAAAATCAAATACGGTCAAAACTTTAAAAGGTGATGATGATCGACTATCATCAAAATCTTCAATCTATCTTCAATCTCTCAAATCTCAATCTCAAAATCTTCAATCTATCATCAAAATCACTATCACTCAAAATCCAACCAAGGCTGTTTATTAGTGATTGATTTCTTGGCGCACAGTCGATTACAATTTGCGTTATATTGTTGTAATTTGTTTGGCTTTCGCTCTCTAATTTTTCGTCCTGTTGCATCATTAAGTAACTAAATAAGCTAGAAAACTATAATAACTTTTGTAGTTAGGGGCAAAGAAAGTTTGCAATTGTGTAACTCATTATATTTTTCCTACAGATACTATAAATCACATAAACAATTAGTCTTTCAAACACTGTACAGCTCGTTTTTAGGTTAGGGTAAATCCAAACATTGAACGGGATGGGAAACTCGTATTCCAGCTGATCGTCGTCGTAAAATCTTGTGTTGACAATTATTTTCAAGCGTACACGGATTACGTGCAAAATAAAAGCACGCTGTTTTGTTTAGTTTGGTTGAAATACTGTTGTGCGCCAAAGTAAAAACTGTGCACCAAAGTAATGGCCATGTCACACCAACATCCGCCGCTCCCGCCGCGGGAGTACCGCGCGCGGATGATTTTCCTCGAGCCATGTCACACCAAGTTTGCGCCCGCGTCGGGAGTTTTGAGATGATTTCATTAAAATAAATTTGTTTTTCATAAGAAACACATCTTACCTGTTTAGTATGCCATTTGCATGTTTCTTCCGCAAAGATTCAGGGCGGCTGAGGGATTAGAACGGTCAGGTGGTGTCCCAGCCCCTAAATTAGCCCTCGCTCGGCCTCTCTGGGTTTTGACCATGAGTCACCCACTAGGCTCAATGCATAGTATGGAAGAATTTTTGTATATCACCATAAAGTGTATTAAATAACGCCAGATTAGTAACCTGAGTTGAATAACAAACATTGAGCCCAAACACGAAATAATTGCGACGATATTAAGTATACATTTGGTTTTAAAATGATAGACAGTTTTTGTGTCGTGGTATGCTTAATATCATCGCAATAATTTCGTGTTTGGGCTCAATGTTATAAGTAGTAAAGTGTTTAAGAAGCAATTGAATGTTTACTTTATGTACTTTAAAAAGTGAACTGTAATAATTTTTAAAATTTAATTTAGACCTTGTGTTCGAAGTGCAAGCATTTTAAATATGGTTGAGGATAAATTATCCACTTTCAGTATTTTAAAAGTTATTTTTCGCTACACTACAAATACTTTTTAATTTTTAAATAAAAACATAAGACAATTTTAAAACTAATGTAATTCTTTTGCTAAGCCTTATATTGGAAGTTCAAGTGTACATTGGTTGTAAAGTTTTGGTTGTTGCAAATTGAAACAGTAGATGAAACAATAAAACATTGTTTGTTTACGTCAGCAGTATAAAAAATGTGATGGGAAACAATAAATTTTCACAGTTAACATTATTTTTGCATGGTAAACAAAAGTGATTTTTTCTGGTGATAAACATATTACGAAGATAATACAAAACAACATATATCATCAAACAAAAGAAACATGTTAAATTTAATTCCAAACTGTATTAAACTGTATTACTTTTAAACTTTAAATAGCTTGGCCATTCGAGATGCCCCTTTGTGCATGTGCTAGACAAAACTCCCGCCGCGGTACTCTCAAAAAATCGCTCAGCAGGCGGACGTGGCGGACACTAGTGCGGTGTGACTTGGCACGTTTGATAACATGGTAAGCGAGTTTTCAAAGTTCGCTCCCCTCGGTGTGACTTGGCCTCAAGGCTTTCTGTACTAGGAGTTGAGCCACCTTGTAACCCAGCAACAACTAGGTGGACAGAGATTTTTTTTCTTTTTATAACTATACTTAATATTCAGGGTTATAAAAAGTTTACACTATAAAAACCTAATCTTATTAGGAAAGAGGATATCTGATACAGACATCAATTTATAAAATATGTGCAAGAAAGCCCAAGTTGTCGGGTGACTGTAGTAAATAGTATATTTTGTACATAGGGCCTAAAATGTGATTTTGCTGGCTCGAAATAGTTATTAAAGTTTGAGACAAAGTCGAGACCTTAAAAAGGGGAGCTGCAAAACCATTTCGGCCCGTAATACGAACGCTATTATTTGCCCCACTACCCTATTACCACAATAATAATACACACTAACAGTCAACAAATCTACGACTTTAAGGTTGTGTGAAGAAATAATTTGAGGAATCGGCGAAAATAATAATACATAGTTGCTAGACAACGGTGACAATGAACAATGCTATTGCAATGCTATGGATACTGATGTATGGGTATTTTTATATACCGTATGCATTATTTATTGCTTTAAGGAAATAAGCAAACAACTGAGTTTTGGTCCTAGAGATGTAAAACCTGCTTGGCCCCCAAATGGCGATAACAGCTGGCATGGACAGCAATACGTAGCTTTCGGCCTCCAATAAACGCCTGTAAAACAACTAATAACATCGTAGTGTGAAAAATACTTTTATGAACAGGAAAAGATAACCTTTCAAAACGACTTCGAGTTTCGTTTTCAATTCTGCCTAAGTAAATGAGCAGCGCTGTTTAGGACAGCGATTCAATAATTTCTTGTATGATTACGTAGTGTTACTATTCTAATTAAATTTTTAGGTAGGCCTACTAAAATATTTCCATAAATAAGACATAATTATTCCTTATTTAAATAACATTAGATTTACCGAGTGCTTAGGTTTGCTGTTACGGGGAAGGTAATAAGTGTTTTTTGACCATACGTCAATAGTATAGGATGAAATAAACAAATTTGCCAAATTTTATCAATATATATCCATAAACAAGTAAACTACAACAATTTTCATTTTCTCCATAAGAATAACATGGGAATTTACACTATTTTTGAATTTTCTGTGTGACCGTTAGGCATACAACAGCGCTTCAATATACTAAATTATTTATTTTTTTTAAGATCTAAAAAACGGTTTAAAAAGAAATTGCAAAGTTTTTTGTTTTTATGGTCAAAAATGGGAAAACCCCATTTTTACCCCAAGGTAAAACCCCCCATAAACCCCCGTTCGCATGGTCCGATTATGCTGGATCGCAAACTCGTTTGAATAAACGTAGGTTTACACGTTTTTACCAAATTTCATCAGAATCGGATCATTTTTGCTCGAGTTATCGCGCTAACGGACACATATATATATATGAATTTGAACGGATGGTGTTTTTGGCCTCTAGGGACCTCAAAAAAAAAAATTAAATCGGTCCCGGGTCCAGGTCTTACCATGAGTACTACGGTAATAGCTACTTCCCTATAGGGAAATTCGCTAAAAGACTTGTTATAAAGGTCGACTTCTTATCAAGGTTTGCATAACATTTGATTAGGTCTAAAATAAAATTTTAGGGGATTAGAAAATGACACTTGTTATAAATAGCAGCAAACCGAAGTACTCATTAAAAATTAACAATATTTAAATAGGAAATAAATCTGACCTTGATTCCATCATCTCCGACTACTGTGTCCACGGCTGGACGTATCTAATGGGAGTGCCTAAGTTGGGAGTGTTGGCCTTTATAACATAATAGTTTGTATTTATCAGGAAGCGTGTGCAGTAGGGTTGATGAGACCATGACTCCATCAACTCCGACTACCGTGTCAACGGCTGGACGTATCTAATGGGAGTGCCTGAGTTGGGAGTGTTGGTTTTTGTAACATAATAGTTTGTATTTATCAGGAAGCGTGTGCAGTAGGGATGAAATCAGTGATGAGAGACCATGACTCCATCATCTCCGACTACCGTGTCCACAGCTGGACGTATCTAATGGGAGTGTCTGAGTTGGGAGGGTTGGTTTTTGTAACATAATAGTTTGTATTTATCAGGAAGCATGTGCAGTAGGGATGAAATCAGCGATGAGAGACCATGACTCCATCATCTCCGCCTACCGTGTCCACGCCTGGACGTATCTAATGGGAGTGTCTGAGTTGGGAGGGTTGGTTTTTGTAACATAATAGTTTGTATTTATCAGGAAGCATGTGCAGTAGGGATGAAATCAGCGATGAGAGACCATGACTCCATCATCTCCGCCTACCGTGTCCACGGCTGGACGTATCTAATGGGAGTGTCTGTGTTGGGAGTGTTAGCTGAACTGACAGGTCGAAAGTCTGGCTGTGCTAGAGGCAAGGGTGGCTCTATGCACATGTACTCTCCCAACTTCTACGGAGGCAATGGCATTGTTGGTGCTCAGGTGAGTCAGGGATGTAAAACAATAAAAAAAAACTTAAGATAGATCATAGTATTGTATGTGTAATGGTATTGATACCACCATTGCCCTTCATAGTTCTAGCAGAAAGTATTTGGAACAGATGTTCAGAGGGTTTATTTCTGTTGTATTACCTCCTTGATGGTTTTGTTATGTGAAAGGACACTAACTCAGAATTTGTTAGGCTAATAAAATAACAAAATACTATTACTGTATGCCTGGCTTAAAATATGCTTCTTGCAAGCATGTCAACATAAGTTATCTCTTTCTAAATTAGGCTTGGTTTAATTTGCTTGTTGAATGTAGAAATTAGAAATATTATAATAAATTGTAATCGGTACAGGGTCCATTCAATAAGTATCGAGACTGGTTCACTGTGGCCTCAAAAGAGCAGTGGAGGGGGGTCTGCACGGTTGGGTTCGATAGAGGGATCCTTCCATTCAGGAGCACTTTGATTAGTCGCCTACAAACATTTGCTATTACAGGAGGTCAATATTTGTGCCGTGTGTTTTTTCAATGTGTCGTCACGCCAACATGGCGCGTAGCGTCGAGGAACGTTGTTAAGTTTTGCTTTAGACTCGAAAAATACGCGTAGGAGAACCTGGGCCTCAACTTGAACATTTTTTTTACAATACCGTACTGGAACACCCAGGTAATAACGTTGTCCAGAAAATTTGGATCTTGCTGGACTCAGTACAAAACTTCTTGCAAAACCTCCACCCTTCACAGTTTTTGTTCCTCGCTCAGGACTTTGGTCACCAGCTTCGCGTGGACTTTTCTCATCGCCAAATTCTCCTTTATGATAGTGTGGACTGTTCTCACTGAAAGGTCAGTCTTCTCACTGGTGTAGGCCATAGTTAGACGCCTGTCCAAAACTTCTTTCACTTTGATCACGTGAGCCGTGGTTGTCAGGCGTTTGACGCGGTACTCGTCTTCGATGAGTTCCCGGCCTTCCTTAAACATTTGGCGCCTCTCAAAAACTCATGTGCAGCTTAAAGCATCATCCCCATAAGCCTGTTTAATTAGGGCAAGGTTCTCTGACACACCGATTTTCCGTGTTTAAAGCTAAATTTCACAGCGTTGCTCGACGGTACGCTCCATGTTGGGGTGACAACACAATGAAAAAACACTCGACGCAAATATCGACCTCCTGTCTCAACAAATGCCCGTATGCGACTAATTTAAAGTGCTTCTATCGAACCCAACCGGTCAGACCCCTATCCACCACTCTTTTGAGGCTACAGTGAACCAGTCCCAATACTTATTGAGAATAACAACAACAATACTTGGGAATATACAATACTTGGAGGGTGTATACATTACAAATTATTGGTTTTTCTTTCCGAGTCAGTTTGGCTCTTCTATTCGCCCAGTTTTCATAATGTTGTCTTAAATTATAAGTGTGCACGCATAGATTTGCCTTCAAGCATAGACATTCATTTAACTTATATTTCAAGTTATGCACAAAAGAAACTTCCTAACTGAATATTTCTTATGGGAGGTAAATTTGGTATTTCTTCTCCGAGTAATAGTTAAATTTTTACCTCTGGGGGCATTAAAATGAAAAAAGTAAATCGGTCCAAGGGTAAATTGGTAAATCTACCCAAAGTAAATTTGTCTTTTTGTGCCTCCTACGGTAACAACTACTTCCCTATACTGTAGGGAAGTTTGCTAACAAGAACATCAGAAACATAAAAACGGTACGTATACACAAACATTTAGATAGCGCCAGACGTCCCATCTATATGGACCAGCTGTAGCCAATTTTTTGTTAAAAAAGAACGTACTTGTGTGAGCCAGAATGCGCTAGCGACTAAAACTCTATTTTCTACTTTTTTTTATTGCTGGCCGAGTTGATGGGTCATAACAGTATAGGTAGCTCTCAATAAGTAATTCCATTAGTTAGAATTGGTAACAAAAATTTATATTCAACAGAAATCAGTAATTTAGATCAGCACAATCTGTCGGTGGCTCACATCAACTACGACGATTTTGGTTCAAAAACTGGCTACAAATTTAACATGGGAATGGAATGTCTTGTAATAATAGTCAAAGATAGTGCTTATAAGATTGCGGTACTTTAAGTTGGTTTTAGGTTATTGTATTTAAATTAAAACAAAGCTATGTGTTCTTAAAAACCAACCAGGGTGTACGGCAAAACATGAAACTGGAAATTTTTATGGCTGGGTAAAAGTCTGTAAATTGTAATGGCCAATAGCTTATGAGAGAGCGTCCATTCTCCATTCATAAACAGTGCCCTATCGGTTCCCTCTCAATGTTATTGTGTAGTTAGAAGAACGCAATCGTGAGATATGATCACGAGTGTTGCTGGGATTGTAACAAACTCAGATATTTCTGCGATCGCTGGTGGCAATTCTGATGGATGTTGCCATAATCTTGGGAGACATTCTAGGTGTTTTATGATTGCAGGAGCAAAAGATACGGCCGTTTACATTTATTAATTCATTTAGTAATCCAAACAGGGCTCGGCCCTCATTAGTTCAGATTGGCAGAACTCTGGTTTATATTTGTCTGATATGTCATCACGTAACAGATGGGGTGTTCTATCAGAGTTTGTTGCTGATGCAAGTTGTGTTGATGTTATAGGTGCCTTTGGGAGCAGGAGTTGCATTTGCCTCCAAGTACAAGGGCCAAGATGGAGTGTGTTTTGCTCTGTACGGAGACGGAGCGGCCAATCAGGGTCAAGCGTTTGAAGCTTACAACATCGCCAAGCTGTGGGACATTCCTTGCATCTTTGTTTGTGAGAACAACGGCTATGGAATGGGCACCAGCGCGGAGAGGGCCTCCGCCAGTACAGCCTACTACACTCGAGGAGACTACGTTCCTGGCATCTGGGTACAGTAAATTTTACTTTATTCTATAAAACACACAGTCTTTAAACAAACAAAAAAACAACAGTTTACGTAAAAAAAATTTTTAGAACATGTTTAAATCCTCCTTGTCAATTTGTTTGATTTAGTTCCTCAGTAAGAATTTTTTTTTAGAAGTTTTAATTAATTTTACTAGGGCATAATCCTTTAGCTCTGCTAAAGAAATAGGTGGCATTTATGTAGGGATGGACGGGATTGAATTTTTAGTTCGGGACGGGACGGGACGGGATTTTTATTTCAGGGTGTCTACCAACCGGGAAATCCGGGAAAACCGGGAATTGTACTTAATTTTTTACTGGCCATGAAATGTACGGGAATTGTCCTTAAATGCCAGACTATGTCCTTAAATTTTTAATGGGCCATAATTTTATTGATCGCTAGTTGGTTAGGAGCACATAAAAGGTTTATCAGATGTTTGTTTACATTTTCATAATTTATTACTAGAGTAATTATGCAATAAAAATCCCATTAACAATCTCAAACCCATTAATATTTTATCACGACAATCAAGTGTCAAGTCAAGTACTTCCAAGAACTGTTGACTCAGTTAGCTAGCTCATAAAAGTTGTATCACTTTTATTCCTTTACAACTTCTTTTTTTTATTACTAGGGCTTATTATGAGATTATATTATGAGGAATTATTATGAGACCCCAAACCTATTTTATCGTGAAAATAATAGCTTTATAATGGCTGTTAAATTTCACTTCTTACTTGTACTTGGCTTGAAGATTCATTTTGCCGCGGCCATTGCCTAGTGCCATAAAACTGTTTATGGTTTCATATTAAACATGTAAATAATCTACAGTCTTATTTTGTAAGTTAACCCCTTTTTATGGATATTTTATCTTTCAATTGACAAAACCACAAGCATTGTTATTTGCATCAATGTTTTATCACTATGTAGGCCTGCTTGGTTTCAAATTATGTCATTGCATTTTCTGTATCTTTGTCTTATATTGTTGGCTATTCAGGTTTCAATGTTTTTTGTTTCCCATATATTTATTTATTGAGTTGTATGCTTTAAGCAATCTAAATCTTAAGAACTAGAATGATGATAGTGACTTTGCTGCTATTATAACCTCATTGTTTGTTACCCAGTTTATTTAGGCCCTCCTAAATAATGAGGCCTAGGCCTGGGTATTTTGGTTCTTGAAAGAGCTGTAAAATATATTAAGAAAATGTAATTGAGCCTAGATAAACAACTAATGATTGCTATTTGTCGATATTAACTTTGCAAATGAAAATACAATAATCTTACTCTGTGCTTATTGCTTATTGGTAGCCGCTTACCATACCTTGATTTTGTACTAAGAACTGAGCAACAATATGCATTAAAGATTTTTTTTTTCAAAAGTAGTTGAGAGCCTAACGTTGTGCCAGGGCAAATCGTGCCAAATTAATCCGCCTGGATCGGATAAGCTATGTTATGAAGTTAACAAGACCGATGGAGATATTTGGATCGCTATCGCAGGAGACAATGATTGCGTTTCTCTGTTACACTATAAAAGTTTTACCTAAGGTATAGGTAGGCCTATGCTTGTTTACTTTCAATAAATTTCTATTTTGAAATTTTTAACTCTTAGGCTATCTATTATTATTTACTCTTCTCTCTGGTACAACTACAGTTAATAACGAGACTAATACAGTTTGACAAATCAGGAAAATTATTCGGTAGGCCTAATGACACCGACAAAGGTTACGCCAAAGTGTCCTTAAATGTACGGGAATTGTCCATGAATTTTTTATCCAGAATGTAGTAGACACCCTGTTATTTCCTTCCCGATTTTCGGGACGGGACGAGACGGGATTTTTTTCTGTGCATAAAAAGAAAGTACTGTATTGCAGTTACCAAAAAAGACATACGAAATCAATTTTTACCATTAGTGGCACTGATCTATAAAAACAAAAAAATGGGTAACAATTTACAGGTACCTATAGAAACTTGTGACTCGCGGGTCACGGGGTGATCGTCTGTACATGACTCACGATCACGGCGCGATTGTCGTCATGACTCGCGGTCACGTCGCGATCGTCGGTATGACTCGCGGTCACGGCGCGATCGTCAGCATGACTCGCGGTTACGGCGCGATCGTCGTCATGACTCGTGGTCACGGCGCGATCCGCGGTCACGGCGCGATTGTCGGTATGACTCGCGGTCACGTCGTGATCGTCGGTATGACTCGTGGTCACAGCGCGATCATCGGTAGGACTTCGCGGTCACGGCACGATCGTCGTTATGACTCCGCGGTCACGGCGTGACTGTCGGTATGACTCCGCGGTCACAGCCCGATCGTCGTTATGACTCGCGGTCACGGTGCGATCGTCGGTCCAATAATCGCGGCCACGGCGCGATCGTCGTTATGACTTCGTCTCCTGCGTTCGCGGACCTATCGCTCGCAATAACGGCGTTGGAAAAATCCGCGGAATAATCGCCGACGATCGGACCAAATCCCGTCCCGAAAAATTCCCGAGTCAAATGTAATCCCGTCCCGATAATCGGGAATATTTTTTTCCCGATAAATTCCCGAAATTTCGGGACCCGTCCATCCCTACATTTATGTATAAGCCACTAGTAGGATTTAGTTTGGAATTAGAAACTTTTGGATCTAAAAATTTCATTAGTGGAAACCACTACCTCGGGAAAACTTGTATTTATTCAACTCATTTCAAAATTATGAAATACAAGCTGTTGGCCTGTATTGTGTCGATTTGAAAAGCCTTGTATTTATTCAACTCATTTCAAAATTATGAAATACAAGCTTTAATACTTTAATACTTTAATACTTTAGCTGTTGGCCTGTATTGTGTCGATTTGAAAAGCCTTGAAGTGAGATTGGCGGCCAATTCACACACATACTGGTATTGAGTACAGTAGCTACATACCACCTTCCATTGTATACTATCACTTACCTTACCTTATCTTACCTCCGTGGCCATAGGTACCTTAAGAGGATTCTGGCCTCCCATTCTCTTCTATCCTCTTCCTCTTGTAATGTAGATCCCAGTCTGGAAATGTCTTTTATTACTTTCATTCTTGATCGTCCAAGTGGTTGTCTACCTTATGGCTCTTCTCGGAATACACTGTTAATAGTTAAAGGATCTTCTCTCCTCCACGTTCGCCCATCTTAGCCATTTTATTTTGGAAAGTGCTGCTATATCTGAGTGATTATACTCTCTCTTATTTTAACTCTGTTCTTCCATATTCTCCAACTTTTGTTATCTTGAACTGGCCCATATATTTTCTATACAATCTATTCTCGAACCCAGCGATAAGGTTTTTCGGTTCTTTGGTCAGGGCCCAAGTTTCTGAACCATACAGTACTACTGGGATGGTAGTAATGGTATGGTATGAATCGGATTTGGTTTCTACAGATTCTACAGACACTCTGCAGATTACTGGACAATTTTCTAGAGACCTACTACACCGGTTTACATTTTCATTACTAAACAAAATGTTGGTATCCCGACTTGCACACATTTGAACATCAAGAAAAGGAAGTATTGATTAAAATATATGTGATAAACGTGTTCGTAAACCACTTATATCTGAAACGATTAAGCGATAGTTTGCTGAAAGAAATATTTCCGAAACATGAGTTCAAATTTTCATGGCATAAACTTACTCACTCAGATTGCATTTACGACAAAACTTGATTATATGCAAGTGTTTGAGATGTTTAGTTAAAAATTACACATTTCCTGATAACGCAGATCGTTTACGGTAGGAATAAAACACTTTAGTATTTTCGCAAACACCGATTCAAATAGGGATCACATCATTTGTCCGAGTTTTCAACTGTCCAAGTTTGTTAAAAATTACAAAATATTTGAAAAATCTTTTGTCCGAGTTTTCAACTGTCCGAGTTTTGATAAATAACTAATAATAATTAGATAAATCAACTGTCCGAGTTTTCATTTGTCCGAGTTTATTAAATTATTTTAAAAAAGTATCGAAATATCAAGTGTCCGAGTTTTCAAATGTCCGAGTATGGTTTAAATAATAATAATATTTCGTTAAATCAACTGTCCGAGTTTTCATTTGTCCGAGTTTTTAAATTATTTAAAAAAATATCAAAATATCAACTGTCCGAGTAGAGTCAACATCAAAATGTGACACTGCGCGCCGAAACTAGCGTGTCTAAAGCGCCTGTTCAGAAGTCGATGTGAACCCCTTCTGTGAAGGACTCAGGCATTGTGCGAGCCGCGAGAGCCACTCACGTCGAATTAAGAAAAATTATTTTATTTTTAGTATACGACTAATTTTACAATGATTAATTATAAAATTAAACTCTCATCACCGAACACAACCAACCAGACTTGCTAATAATATAAAATACCCCCGCCGCAGCAAACCTTCAGACGAAGCGAATTTAAACTTGTCTGATAACATATTTACTAAAATATTTCCATAAACAAGCGAGTGCTTAGGTTTGCTGCTACGGGAAGGTAAACAGTCTGTTTTGACCATACGTCAATAGTATAGGATCAAATAAATAAAATTTCCAAATTTGATCAACATATCCTTAAACAATAAAACTAAAACAGTTTTCATCTTCTCCATAAGAATAACATGGGCATTTTAAATTTGCATTTTTTTTATTTTCTCCGTAACCATTAGGCATACAACAATGCTTCAATATACTAAATTATTTCTTTTTTTAGTTCTACAAAATGGTTGTAAAATATATTCCAAAATGTTATGATTTTAGGGTCAAAAATGGGAAAACCCCATCTTTACCCCATAAATCTTCGTTCCCATTATCCGATCATGCTGGTTCGCGAACTCTTTAATTGTATTTGTAACCTAATAGTTAAGATTGTCCAGAGTCAGGTGCTGACTGTGATAAGTTAAGTCTATTACGCGCCACTGTTCTGTAGCTGAGGTCGTTATCACGATTACGCCTCATGTCTATGTTTCGTTGTCGTCACGTCGGAGGCATTTAAAAGAAAATAAAAACAAATA